CAGCCAGGGTGCACCAGGCGCCACGTGGGCAGGCGCAGAGGGGAAGCCGCCCGATCAGCTGGAGTGTGGTTCAGCCTCTTCCAGGCTGAAGGCCACAGCCAGCTGGCCAGCCAGCTTCTCCTCTGCACCAGCCCACTTGGAGCTTGGTGCACCCTGGCTGAGCACCATGGCCAGATGGCCAGGAAGCCGCTTCTCTTCGTTCCCGCCCGGCTGCCCTGCGCTCAGCCTGGGAAGCTTGCTGTTAGTATCCCAACACTGTCCAGCCTGGAGCCCCCTCCCCAAGCCAGTGTCCTCTTTTCCACCTCCTCCTGCATCTAGATTTCCTCCCAGAGCTTGCACCTCTCACCCCTTCCCACACCCAAATCCCTCATTCCCACTCCAGAGACTACACATCCTGTCTCAACACAGCAAGGGTCCAGTTAGACTGCAGGAGTTTTTCAGGATTCTGGAGATATCCCAGAAAAACTCTTCTGCATCCAGGGTTCTGTTTGTTTTTCCGCTTTCTTAGTGGGAAGAGCAAACAAGCTCTTTTGGTCATCCTTATATTCCTCTTTCCACAAGGAATAAGGTGGCTTCCAAAAGAAGGGTTTTTTTTCCTGACATTTGGTCCAGTGTAGACAGGCCAAATGTTGGAAAAACCTCTTCCTACAGAAGAATAAAAAAAATAAAATAAGCAGCAGTATAAGGATTGGGGATAGTAAGTGATGGAGAGGAGGAGAATAGAGAGGGCGGGGCTTCAGGGAAGGGGCGGGGCGGTAGATCTTGGCTTGGTCTGTCATTTAAAAAGTGATCTTGGGTGTAAAAAGATTGGAAACCACTGCCTTACAATCACATACCATTGCTAAGGAGGCATGCAATAGGAGCTCCATAGGGTTCCAGAATTGGAATGAGGCTGGTAGGAAGCTGTTCTTCACTGTGTGCTTTCCCCTCTTCACACTACAAACCCATACAATGCAAGATACTGCAGACTGAAAGTCAAGGCCTTGAGTGGTGAAACTGAGCATAACTGCTTCCTTGCAGGACCTATGTCCATTTAGGGTTGCCAGGTGTCTGGTAATGACCCGGACAGTCTGGTATTTTCACCTCCTGTCTGGTAAAAAATTCAGAAAATACCGGACACCTAAAATGTCCAGTATTTTCTGATTTTTTCCCGGCCAGGAGGTGAAAATACCGGGTGTTTACCTGGTTCCGGAGGGGAGCTATCTGGCCCAGAGCAGGGAGACAAGATGGTGGATGGCTGCCAGCAGCCTGTTAGGGCCAAAGAGCCTCAAAGGCATTTCTTAAAGGTGCCATGCTGGGTTTTTTTTAATTTTTTTTTTTTTTTACTTAATAATTTTGGCTTAATTTTTCTTTTTTGTCTTGGGGTACTTTTTTTTTTTTTTTTTTGCTCAACATCTGTGGTCACCTCCTTTTTTTTCCTCAACAGATTTTTTTCCCTGTTTTTTTTGGGGGGTGGGGGGAGAGGGGTTGGTATTTTTGTTTAAACCATCTGCCAACCCTATGTCCATTTACTCCAGCTGAGGATCTGTATCTATGCAGTGTCTGTATCTATGGAAGGCCCCCATTGTTGGGGCTTTAAAGGCAGCTAGCAAATGAAGAAGAAACAAGTCAAAATGTTCTATCAAGGGATGCAAGAAGCTAGGGGAGGGAGCCAGGCCCAGTGGATTGCTGAAGATCCTCCACAATTGAGCCTTTCACTGCTACATGCAAATACACACTGGCTGTGTCTAGATTGGCATGATTTTGCGCAAATACTTTTAACTGAAAAGTTTTTCCGTTAAAAGTATTTGTGCAAAAAAGCATCTATATTGGCAGGTGCCTTTGTGCAAAAGATTTGCTTTTGCGCAAAAGCATCTGTGCCCAGTATAGATGCGATTTTGCACAAGAAAGCTCCAGTGGCCATTTTCGCCATCGGGGCTTTCTTATGCAAAAAATTCCTGTCCCTGCCTACACTGGCCTCTTGTGCAAGAACACTTGTGCAAGAGGGCTTTTTCCCAAGCAGGGGCGTCAGAGTTCTTGCGCAAGAACACTGGCAATCTTACATTAGACCGTCAATGTTCTTGCACAAATTCTTGCGGCCAGTTTAGACAGCTGACAAGATTTTGTGCAAAAGCAGGCGCTTTTGCACAAAATCTTGCCAGTTTAGACGCACCCTCTGACGAGTGGAAGCAGCCTACCTTCTACTGTTCTGTGCATACATATAAGATGCAGCAAGTGGCTGATAAGGCCATTGTAATTATGTACAAAGGTAAAACTATGGTGAAGACTTAGAAAGAAATGAAGTCTGATTCCTATTGTTGTTACTGAATATTCCAGAAAAACTGAATGTTGCGTTTTTGAAGAATGCTCTTTTAATCTTCTCTTAGCTTACGGCATATGTATGTTTATTTGCGAAAATATTTTTATATTCTAGATATTGCATGGTTAGATATCTTCAAAAGCAACAAACCAAATGATCTTGGTAAGATTTTGATTTCTATGACCCAGAGAACACAACTGTATTTGTTTATGTCAGGGTTTGATTTTGAAAAGGCTTTTGATGAACCTTTAAGGGAAGTACAGAGGTTAGTAATGCAAAAAGAAGGTATTGCTGATCTGAGTGATCCCTCTGTCTTAATTTTTTTCTATAATGTTCCTCACTGTAGTATCAAAGCATTGCTGAGACTGATATTAATATTCAGAACATTAATAATATTTGGCACTTATACAGTACCATACAAATATTAAATATTAATCAAAACATGTCTGTTGGGTAAGAAAGTCTTATTAAACTTATTAGGCGGATGGGCTTAGAGAGTTGGAATGATTTAACTCCAGTGTTCAATGAGACAGAGAGATGTTTAGAACAAGATCTTGACTTTCAAACTCATGCGCAAGCTTCAGAAGGCCATTTCAAACATAGTCAAAGGTGATACATACATTAAACTCCCTTAGATCTACTTACATCCTAATACCAACGTGTATGGAAGTCTTAGTTGGTGTTACAAACATTGGTCAGCTGGAAGAACACGTAAAGTGAGGATTCAAGTAGGAGATGTGTCCTCCTGTCAGCTTTGATTGCTACATTCCTCTTGGAATGTGAATTGATTGCAGTCTTATAGCCCCCTTGCATGCAGTTGCACCCATTGATGTGCAATTTGCACATCACTTCTGAATTTAGCCCATGGAGTGAAAGGCTATAATGCAAGGAAAAAGGATCTTTCATATGACACCAAATGCCCTCCCAGATTTCAAATATAATTTACCTGCTGAGGAACAGCTAAAGGGTGTACTTTATACCTTCTTTCAGACTTTGACCACCTTCATTGAGATGTACTCACATAGAGACCGTGCTATAATCATGGGTGTCTGGTATGTAAGGCGGGAAAAGGCTCTGCCTTCCCAAACTGACAGTCTACCCCTGTCCACACTGACAGTCTACCCCTGTTGTAGATGTTCAGGGGTGAAGTGTTGCTGCCCCCAGCGCCCACCCTCCTGGTGCTCCATGGACTGCATGGCCACCTCCATCCCCACTACTCCGGGGGCTTGGGATGCATGGTCTCATCCCTCTCTGGTGCTCCAGGGGGTCAGGGAGGCTTGGGCCAGCTCAGGCTGCATGGCTGCCCCCCTTCTCACTGCTCTGGGGACCAGCGAGGCTTGGACCAGCTTGCTCCCCAGTGATCCCAGGGCCAGGGAGGCTTGGGCTGGCTCTGACCACATGGCCTCTTTGCTCCCCAGTAGTCCTGGGGCTGGGGAGGCTTAAGCTGGGTCGGATTCTGTGGCTGCCTCCCTCCCTGCTGCTCCAGAGGTCAGCAAGGCTTGGGCCAGCTCCGGCTGCATGGCCTCTTTGCTCCCCGGTGCTCCAGGGAGGCTGTGGCGCGTGTGGTTCCCCTCTCTGTGGTGGTGGGGGGCATGCGCTCGGTACACTGCTCCTCCTCTCTCCATGGTGGGAGCGGGGCCTCAGCAGAGGGGGTGGGGCCTTAAGTGGGGCTGGGGGTCTGCTTCATCCAACCCCAGCTGCACTGACCGCCCATGGCTGGAATGTGCTCCATATTCTACCAAGGATTTTAGAGGGTTTCCATGTATAATGGGTTTGATCACAGAGGTCCCTTGGGACCGTCTTCCACTGTGGTGATTGTGCTACTCAGTCCACCTGTCTGCCATCTGGGGCACCCAACCACCCTGTCCTGCTGGGCCAGAAGCTCTGGTCTCTTTCAGCCAAGGCACAGAGTTGGGGTAACAGATCTCCCCCACAGAGCAACACATACACTGAACCAGCTCAGCTGTGGGAAGACTCAGCGATAGAGCCTTGATAGCATCCATGGAACACAACCCTCAAGCGGGACCAAAAGATCGACTAAATCTAGTCTTACACAGAGAAAGGTCACAACGCTCACTTTCTTTATCCATGAAAGAGAGAGATGCACAGCTATGGTTCCCAGCCAGCTAACACAGGGCTTGCTAATAAACAGAAATGTTTTATTAAGTAAAAAAGTAATATTTAAGTGATTGCACATGAAAACAGATCAAAGTTATTTACTAATTCAAAATAAACAAAACACACCAATTAAGCCTAATATGTTAAGAAACTTTTACATGCAAATTCTTACCCTAAGAGTAGTTCTAATCATCTCTTTTATAAGCTAGGCAGCCTTCTAGCTTAGGTCTGATCCTTCCCCTCTTCAATCTTAGATGTTTCCAGCAGTCTTGGGTGGTAAGTTGGGGTTCTCCCGGTATCTGGCCACTTCCCTAATGTTTGGTTTCCCACCTTTATATCCCCTTTGGCTAAGGTGGGAATTCTTGTGATCAGTTCAAACTTGTCTCATCTTCAATGGAAAATTACAAGATCCAAAAGAGGTTCCAGCATCAGGTGGCCTGGCCATATATCCTGGCAGGACCACCACGTTTTGGGCTTACAGCAACCAGAAAGGACACTCTCTAAATGACTTAGCCACCTGCATTCTGCTACAAAGACCTTTTACATCTGCACTTGAAAGGGAATCCTCTGAACTGTCATTCATGTTAAAATTCGACACTTACCACCAGGGACTTAACAAGTCTTTGAACTTTCTCACCCATTATCAAGACAGTTTCCCCAATTATCACCTGTAATACCATTAACTCACAAACATCCCACTCTCCCTACCTCTAATATCATCAATTCACAGACACTTACCTTCCTTCCTCCCCCTTCCCACCCCCCCGCCTCCTCCTTCTGTTCTGCAATGTGATTTGTCCTTTTCATATTTGTTCTTTTTTTTAATTGTATCCTTTGGTATATATGGTTGTGACTACTTTCTTCCACTATTTGATCTGAGGAAGTGGGTCTGGCCCACGAAAGCTCATCATCTAATAAACCATCTTGTTAGTCTTTAAAGTGCTACATTGTCCTGCATTTTGCTTCAACTACCCCAGACTAACACGGCTACATTTCTATCACTATTCTGATGTGCAAGGGGAGTGTCTTTCTTCTCAGTTGGGGGCCATGTCTGTGAGGGTTGGGCTTTTTATTTCTCACTTGTGTGTGGCCCCCAACTGATTTTTAGGTGGCTCAGTGCCCCCCAACCTAAAAAAGGTTCCCCACTCCTGGCTTACAAGAAAAACAAAGTAATTCACAGATTGTTGGTTTGAATGTCAAGCCATTATGTTTCCAGGGTATCACTAACTGCCCTCATTAACACATTTAGAATTATAAACAGATTCACACTTCATATTCCTAACTTCACATACAAGAATGATACATGCACAGAAATAGAATATTCACATTTAGCAGATCATAACTTTAAAAATGTCACATGATGCATTTTGCCTAAAGCATCTTTGAGTTACACACATTCATAAGCTGGCGGGAGGCATGACACCATGCAATAGTTAGAAGAAGGCTGACTCAGCAATAATTCTTTCCAGCAATCTCTCAGAGCACGTCTACACAGCACTGTTATTTTTGAATAACTAATGTTTTTCCGAAATAACATCGTCCACCTCTATACTACAAGCAGTTATTTCGACATAATGTTGAGCTAGAGGACTTCTTACTCCGACTACTGTAGCTCTCATTTTACAAGGAATAAGGGAATTTGGAGGAAGAGTGCTCTTCCTCAAACCTCCTGCTGTGTAGATGGTGCCAAAAGCCAAAATAAGCTATTTAGACTTAAGCTATGCAATTGACGTAACTGAAGTTGTGTAGCTTATTTCAGCTTGAGCCTGCTGTGTAGATGTTCCTTCACAGAGTACATACCAGTCACACTGAGAGGTTCACTGATGACCAAAAGGATTAATTTGGACCATTTACTCTACCTGTTTTTTAAAGAATACAATGCTCTCTTAAACAATAAAAAAAAGTCTTTAAATGCACTGATGTAAAGATATTCAGATACTTCAGCACCAGACATGTTCTAAACAAAAAAAATACTGTCTGACCTGGTTAGACTTAGTTATACTGTATTTACTATAGGAATTCCTTTTAAAATAAACTGTGTTATTTGTGGGGCCCCCTATTTGGTAACTCTTGAAGTTAGCAAATCAACATATTTCAGTCTACCATTTCATATAATTTGGTAGAAGGTATTCTTAGTTCATATCCTTTCTGCTTATAAGTTTCTCCAGATTTTTTTTTTAACCTAAAACTTAAGTTTTGTTTTGAAATGCCCAGTAGAAATGGATATTTTTTCACTTACTGCTCTTAGAATTTGTTAAAATTTTGCAATCACCCTATTGTTTCCCTGGATTTTATACTATTTAGAGAATGTTATTTCAAACAGAAGTAAATCTGACCATCCCTTTAATATGACTCAGAATCTACAGTGTTTCACATCATTGATTTTTAGAAGATGAATTTAAAGCCATGGTTGCTGTTGTTAGTTATATAGTGCTTTTGGTAGATCTCAAAGTATTTTACAAAGGTGTTCAATATCATGAATGCTTAGGCTTGTTACTATTCTTGTGTCTAGCAATATAGAGTGAAAACTAAACAGTGCCTGTTTAAAAGATTTTCTTGTTATGTTTCAATTCACAAAAATGAGTAGGTATTTTATATTTATCCTTTAGACAGAAAAAAAAGAGGTAGAAATTTGGTGACCATGACCCAGCGATCAAAAAATAACTTTGTCCTATTGGGCAAGGATAAGAAACAACTATATCTGAAGGTAAGAAGTAGTTTATTTACCCTTCATCTTTTTGTGACGCCATCTTTGTTTGTCTTCAGCTTTCCAGTTTTCCCAGGATTTTCAGTGTCTCCTCCAGCTCCTGTTAAAGGAAATTATAAGGTTGGCTGCTTGTGCTGGGTTCTGGTGTCTTGATGCTGTCAGGCTCCTATCTCTTTTTAAATCTCAGAGCACACTTATGTGATATGACATGGTTTGAGATTTGAATACAAAGTGCATGAAGAGCACTGAGTAAGCTTGATAACAAATGTTAGTAGAAAATTGTTAGAGCTCAGTGTGAGAATCTAGATTGTAGCTTCCATTAGAGAGGGAGAGACTACTGCAACAGGAGGTGGTGTGCAGGAAGAGAAAAGAGGTGTGACACATGAAAGAAGAGGACTTGGGTGTGGAATTCTCTTCTCAGGACAAACTGAAATTTTAGATACAGTCAGGAATATTGATCTGAGAAACCACAATTCTGTGTGCTAACATATTTGTAAACACTCTTACCCTGTGCAATTAGAAGGGCATTTTGTTTTTATTTTTGTTCTCCAAGCCATTGAGGATTTGTATAGATAGGAAAAGCAATCAAGGTAATGTTACACTAGTGTTATAAACTAACACTTTTTTTACCTTGAGTTCAATGGTTCTGATTGACTCCAGGGGTATGTCTAAAATGGATTGCACACAACTAAATTAAGGCAAAAAAGGTGTTACTAGGTATGTATGATAGGCAAAATAAAGCAAGTCCTTACAAAGGATTTATCTGATTCAGAGATTAAATGTCCAAAAATTACTTTTTTGAAATTGGTACTACAGAATCTGGAAATATTTGAACTTTGTACCTCCATTGTTGTCACTGCAAATGAGCTGTTTCGAAGATCTAGCATTCCCTGACATGTTTATTACATAGTTTCAGTTTCAATTAATACAATTTAAGTTTCGCAGAACTGACAACCTTGGTGAGTCAGTGGGCCTTATCCCCCAGAAGGATATGAACGTTTTCTTTGAGCTCAGTGGGCATAGATTAGGTCCCCACGGCTGTAAAATACTATGGGAATATAATAAAAATATGGTCCAATCCAATCCAGGCTGCAAAATGGAATTATGTTTTGAACCAAATTGAGGAACTACTTTATGGTAACTGGTCTCCATTTGGTTCATTCTGCAGTCACTAAGGTGGATGTTAAGGGTACATCTACACAGCAGGGCTAAAGTTGAATTCAGCTATATCAATTGTGTAGCTTAAATCGAAATAGATTAACTCAGCTTTTGACACTGTCTACACAGCAGGAAATTGAAGGAAGAACACTCTTCCTTTGACTTCCCTTACTCTTTGTGAAACGAGAGTTACCATGAGTCGGAGTAAGAAGTCCTCCAGCTCGACATTATTTCGAAATAAAGGCTTGTAGTGTAGACACGCAATTCTGAAAAAGCGCTGCTGTGTAGACATACCCCTAGTCTTTTAAAAAAATCTTTAACATTTCCCATAAGAGGGATTGTTTAAAATTACTTGGGCACTGATGGTACAACCAGTGGCTAATATAGATCAGAATGGGAAGGGAAATGCATTGATTTTGGTGGCTGTCTTCACAGGTCTTGAATCCAAATGGTATAGAGTCGGTGACCGAAGAAAGCAAGGATGTTCCTGACCCCAAACAGGTACATGCTCAACCAAATAAATGTATATATGTTCACATACCTGTACAATAGGTGGCACTGTGAAAAGGATACAACCCTGATGCTTCAGACCCATTAGCTATAAATTATATTGTTTATATTTAGGGTTGCCAGGTGTCTGGTATTGACCAGGACAGTCCAGTATTTTCACCTCCTGTCCAGTAAAAAAAATCAGAAAATACTGGACACCTAAAATGTCCGGTGTTTTCTGATTTTTTTCCCTGCCAGGAGGTAAAAACACTGGACACCTGGCAACCCTATGACACACTCAGCAACTGGGCCCAGGCCCTAGACACCTCCCAGGGCCACCACCCCCGGACCCTCTGCTTTCCTGGTTCCACAGGGAAGCTCCCTTCTGGCTCCACCAAGAGAACAAGATGGCTTAAAGATCTGAGCAAGGAGAAACAATGCCTTCCCTGAGCCTTAGTGCTCAACCTCTCCTCTTCCTATCCCTATTCTGATTCTGCACTCACTTAAAGTGGCCATGCTGTTTTAATTTAGTTATTTTTTTATAAAATAAGTTATTTTAATAATTCTTGGGGGGGGAGGGGGTTCTTTTTTTTTTTTTTTGCTCAACAAATTCAGTCTTTTTTTTCCCTCAACAGAATTTTTCCCCCGGTGTCATTTTTTTGGGGGGGGAAGGAGCGTGTTTGGTATTTTTGGTTAAACCATCTGGCAACCCTATTTATATTTCACCAATTATCTGTACTCCTGTTCTTTCTGATTTTTAACATCAAGTGAGAGAGCAACAGTGTCATGTAATAGGACTGTACCCATCAGTTCAGAGTCAACCATTCGGCATGGATTAGAATTTAGAAGATATAGAAAAGTTTCCTCAAAATAATCCCAGAGGACTGAAGCTGGGCAAGCCCAGACATATGAGCCAGCAGAGACACGCAGTACAAAAGCTAAGGTCCTTATTGCAAATACACATCACAGCTGGAACAGAAAGAAGAAAAAGGAGGGGACTCTAGTCTGATAGATACGTGCCTATGAGAAGACCAACTTATAGGGAAGGCAAAACTGTCCCATTCTTAAGAACAGTGCATCTACTTATCTGAAGTCAGAACTACTGGAAAATAAATAACAAGCAGTAGGCCCAGAAAAGGGAAGTTGACAGACACCAAATATAAAATCAGAAATACAAAATGACCTATTCTGCAGGACCTTGAAAGTTAAACCGGCATCAATAGAAGACCATGAAACAACATCGTAATATCTTGTGAATGTATGAAAAAACAACTGGGTGTCAGCGTATCATATTTCATTGTAAAAAGTCTGCTTTTAACTGGCACATAAGTAGAAATGGATAAGGTAATGTGGACACACACAATATAGGGTTGGCAGGTATCCAGTATTAACCTGGACAGTCCAGTATTTTTGCCTCCTGTCTGGTAAAAAAATTCAGAAAATACTGGACATCTAAAATATGCGGTATCTTCTGTTTTTTTCCCTGCCAGGAGGTGAAAATACTGGACACCTGGCAACCCAACAACACACTCAGCAACCGGGCCCAGTCCCCGGACATCCCCCGCACTTACCTGTTTCCACAGGGGCTTGTCTTGTGGCTGGAACAGAAAAAACAAAATGGCCACCAGAAAAAAAGCCTCTTCTTAAAGAGGCCATGCTTAATAACTGCTGTCGAGGTCCTTTTTTTTTTTTCAACAACTTTGGTCTCCCCCTTTTTTTTTCTCAACAGAATTTTTTTCCCGGTGTTTTTTTTTTGGGGGGGAGCGGTGTTCGGTATTTTTGGTTAAACCATCTGGCAACCCCCCACACAAAAAGATTAGTTTGGTAGCTTTAGCATATATTTATCTGAACAGACATCCGTATCCAGTGGAAAATGGAGACAATTTAGGGTTCATTTACACAGCTGAGCCGAAGTCAAAATAAGCTACGCAAATTGAGCTATTTCAATTGCGTATCTTATTTTGAAATAGCTTATTTTGAAATTGGGTGCATCTACACAGCACTTATTTCAAAATAGAGCCCTCTTCCTCCAACTTCCCTTATTCCTCGTACAATGAGGGGTACAGGAGTTGGAATAGGAAGCCTTTCAGCTAGAGCTAGACAGTATTTTTACACTATTTCAAAATAATTGCCTGCAGTGTAGAAGCAGACTAAGTTATTTCGGAACAGTGCTAGTTATTTTGAAGTAGTGTTGCAGTGTAGACATACACTTTGTTTATTACCAAAATCATTTATGGTAGTATTTAAAAGCAGTCAGGTTAACATAGCAGTATTCAAATTGAAATGGACAAGGTGGCCTTTTATCGGACCAACCTCTACAGGCAAAATAATCAAGCTTTTGAGCTACACATTTCTTCAGGACTGGACAAATGTAAATGTTAATCTTTCCACTTACAGTCAATATATTTTGGACTGAATCAGTTCAGTTACAGAACTGGTCCCAGAAAAGTTGGTCTGGAGAAACCAAAAAACACCAAGATGGCCAGCTGCCATTTTTAACAACTAAAGAAGCCTGTCTCTTAAGCCAGAAAGGATTTTTGACTTTATTTCCCCTTGATTTTCCTAGTAACTTTAGAAAACTGAGGAACTGTAGGAAAAGAAACCAAAGTCCTTTTTACTGTTGGTTGTATTTTGTATATTCATCCCCACCTCTCTTATTTTAAGATGTTCCCTGGAACGCTTTCTCCAAAATAGTTTCCTCTGTGTTTCTGGATCAAGGCTCTGAATGAGAAACATTGGAAAAAATGATGTCTAAGGATTAGAGAATGAGGAAAATTTTCCCTAAGTAGGACAAATCTTTCAGTGGTCTGAAGTCTCTCTTTGATTATATCAAGAAGTCTCTATTACACTTTAATTTGCTTTCTCATTAGTGTAGATAAAGAAAAATCAGGCCAGGATGATCTTAATCAGAGAGAATTCTTCGCAAGGAAACTATATGGGGTAAACTCAAGGCCAGTGGGATCTCATGGTATGTAGAACAGAGCCAGACAATTCCAATAATACAGGGTATCCAATCAGATATTAGACCTCAGCCTTAAGAGAATGGAGGAGGGTTACAAAGATCATCTTAATAGAGTGGGAATGGGAAACCTGAGAAGATTCACTGGAATCAGAGCCTTGAATATTTTGGCATGACATTGTGTGCTAGGAGAGAGGGAGTTATGAAGTCCATATTTTTGTGTTGCTCTTTGTCTTGATTTTTCTCTTCTCAATGTTATGATATCAAAAGCATGAAGGGAGGAGTTAGTCTAGTAGTGGTAGGTGTAGCATATGGGCCCCATCTAAGAAAGTGTACTCACTGATGTAGGTAGTATGGGTACGCTACATAGTCTTCACCTCTCTTAGAACTTTGGCCTGAAATTAGCAGCTGGAGGCACTTCTTGAAAGAGCAGAAGAGGAAAGAGAAGGTAAGGAAAGAATAAGATGAAAAACAGAAAGGGTCTTGAGCAAAGAAGTGGGGAAAATGGTCGCAGAACACTTTTAATGGTCGCAGAACACTGCTTTAGGTGTTTGGACCTACCCAGATCCAGTGACTTTAATACCTGACATGCACATTTTTCACAGCTAGCTCTGTATTGTCCTAAAGAAGAGCAAGTCTTCCCTGAGATTCAGACTCTGAGGGTATGTCTAGACTACATGCCTCTGCTGATAGAAGCATGTAAATTAGATATACCTACATAGTCTATGCCTGTTTCACGAGACATAAGGGATCAGTCAACAACGGCTTTCCTTGTCAACCGATCACTGTCTCGACTGCCGCTTTGAGCCGGCAAACAGCTGAGCCGGCACAACACGTTGGCCATTTTTATTCTAATGAAGCGGGGGATATTTAAATCCCCGCTTCATTGACTATGTCGGTATGTCTATATTACATGCCTCTGTCGGCAGAGGCATGTAGTCTAGACATACCCTGACTGACAGGTGGCACTTCAACTGATAAATGGAGAATATTGCATTTTAAAATGTAATAAGTTAGCAGCATCTCCATTTTAACTTTTCACTTCAGATATCTTTTAGAAACACGGTGAAATTTTACAATACATGCATAACTTTGTGTGTTTTTTATAGCTGACTGAACAAAGTCAAGAAGACCAGCTGTTCATCATGCATAAGAATGAAGAAAATTCAGTTAAGTTTCAGTGTTATCAGGATAAGAACTACTACCTTCATGTGAACAAAGACTCAGTTGATATATGCCGGATGAAAGAAACAGATGCTAGTGGAGGAAAAGACTTTGATTTCAAGGTGATATATGTATCTAGCCCCCAAAATAAGCCAACACAAAATAGAAAATAAGGGAGACTGACATCATAGGGGGGTGATTAAGTTCCTTAGTTTGTATAACATTTTTCTATAGCCTCTGTTTCATGATTCACTATTTTTGATGTCTAAGGGAGAGGTCAGTTTAGGTTTTAAATATACTACACCTGAGTGATGCATGTAACTTCGAAGGGGGTGGCTAACTGTGTTTTAGATAAAAACAATTTCTTTCTAGCTTTTTTTCTAGACATTATATTTGTACTTCAAAGGAAGCTGAGTTGGGAAGTGGGGGGGACAGCAGCAGGGACCCAAAGATAGGAAGAGAGAAAATCACAGAAGATAAAATAGAAATCACTTTTAATTTTACATTTGGTAATATGAACATTTATTTCTTAAATGTTCCACATGAATTCACCTAAAAAGTGGGGAGAAATAATCATTCAGCAGCCATTACAAGTACATAAATATGTGTGTACAATGTACTTTATTGCACCAGCAATTTTGCCCCTACCCCTGAAATCTGAAAAAGATCATAAAGACAGAGGCATAGGCATCAATTCCATGCATAGTCCAAGGCTACTCTGGTGTTAATGACTAAACAACAGCAAACCAGGCATCAAATATTGGATGTTACACAGTTGCTCCAGGGTACTATCCTGGGACTCAAGAATTAGAGAACCAATAAACAGGTACCACAACACTTGCAGAGAGTGTTCTGTGTGGATATCATACATTGTGTGCTGAAACAGGAAACCTAATGTGGACCCTCAGTTATACTAGACCATGTTGCAACCAAGCAATTCTCTAGTATAAAAGGCTTCACATTTGTGTGAGACTATGCAAGAACAGAACATAAGAATGGCCATACTGGGTCAGACCAAAGGTCCATCTAGCCCAGTATCCTGTCTGCCAACAGTGGCCAATGCCAAGTGCCCCAGAGGGGGTGGACCAAAGACAATGATCAAGCGATTTGTCTTCTACCATACATCTCCAGCCTTTGACAAACAGAGGCCAGGGACACAATTCCTTACTCCCTGACTAATAGCCTTTTATAGACTTAACCTCCATGAATGTATCTAGCTCTTTTTTTAACTCTGTTATAGTCCTAGCCTTCGCAGCCTCCTTTGGCAAGGAGTTCCACAGGTTGACTATGCTCTGTGTAAAGAAGAATTTTCTTTTATTAGTTTTAAACCTGCTACCCATTAATTTCATTTGGTTCTTATATTATGGGAACAAGTAAATAACTTTTCTTTATTCACCCTCTCCACACCACTAATGATTTTAAATACCTCTATCAGATCCCCCCTCAGTCTCCTCTTTTCTAAACTGAAAAGTCCCAGTCTCTTTAGCCTCTCTGGGGGTATGTCTACACTACCCTCCTATTTCGAAATAGGAGGGTAGTGTAGACATACCCTCAGTCTGGTTTTTTTGTACTACCTTGTGACATTCATTATTGAAAATAGCTTGACCTACTTTCCATGGTTAATTCCCAAGCAGGAAACACATAGGCTACTGTGTCTTTATGAAGTTTCATATACTTTTAACAGTTGAGTTTATAATTAAGGCAAAATTTTTAGCCCAATAATCATTCCAGAATCAGGGTAACTGTAGGCCTGTAAAGCCAATTCTGATTATGGGCAAAATTACAGCCTCTCATAGCCCCGCTTATGCAAATGAAGCCCGGGAAATTCAAATCCCGGGCTTCATTTGCAATTGCGGTACGCCTACATTACCCCACTAGTTCGAACGAGCGGGGTAGTGTAGACATACCCTGATAGGCGACTCGTTTCAAACCCCTAAATCATTTTAGTTGCCCTTTTCTTAACCTCTGAACAGAAGTTAAGTTTTCTCACATGGGTATGCATAATGCTACTGCTGGGCTAATGCCCTGTTAGATTCTTTAAATAGAGAGAACGTGTGCCAAATATGTGAAGAAACCAAAAAGCTTTTACTGCTCAATAAACAAGAGATTCTGACATAACCCCTTTGTTTTGACTAAAAGCTCTTACGAAGCCAGGTGTCTGCTCTGAAACCACTGAAATTAGTGAAAGACAGCCATTGATTCCAATGTGCATTGCTCTAGATCTTAATTATTTGAAATCTCCATGGGATGAACCACAGACCTGAGTGACTTTAAGTGATAAATCGAACTATCTATAGAACATCCATGAATTACACAACAGTATCTCAAAACCATACATTTCAAAAACATTATTTTGAAAGTGAGGGCAGGAGAACAAAGACCCTAATTCACTCCTGGCCCCTTCTATGGCTGCTGCCTCCCGCATGGCCCTCAGTGCAGTAGACCCAGCAAGGATGGAGCACACCTCTATCCGGCAGCAGGCGATAGGCTGCTCCCGGGCACCAGTTAACTGTTACTTGATAAGCATCAGCCAGTAAGAATGATGCTTACCAGGTACCTGGTTAACCAGTTACCCATTCACATCCCTATTTCGGATGAAGTTGATAGTTACTTGAAGTTACTGGAAAGCGTCATTCTGGTTTCTATGACCTCTGAATCAGGCCTGTAGTTAAAATCTGAATAGTGATGCCACATGTAAAGTATGTAGTTATCTTGCATTTGGATTGTTTACACGCACAGCATATTTTTTCCCTCACTCTTTCTACTTCAAATATTTAACAAACTAAGGCTTTTCCTTTTTTAAAACACGTTTTATATTTAAAAAAATAAGCAAGTATAAAATGCACCGCTGGTAGATAAATATTGGGTTTGGACATTGTAATGTCAATAACCTTCCTGAAAACACAGAGCAAATGGTAAATTCATTATGTTCATCTGTACACAAAATTCTTAGTAAAATAAATGAATTGCTGGGCTCCGATTATTTATGCAAAAAATGTCAACCAACACTTTCAAAAGTGCATAGTGATTCTGAGGGCCCAACCTGGGGTCTGATTTTTCAGACGTGTTGAGGCAGAGCATGTGTGAGAATCAAGCCTCTCAAATCAGGCAACCAGGATTAGTGGGAACTTCTGAAAATTTAAGCCCTAACATTTAACTCTTTGAAAAAAATATGTTATGCATCCAATAGTTAAATAAAATTGCAAAATTTCATATCAATCTATTCTGCAAATACTGACCTGCAGCAATGTGAGAGAGAACACTTTGTTTTGTGTGTACTATTACAAACAGATGTTTTGTATAAAGGTTTTTTTATCTAATTAAAATGTTTTTAATAAACTGGGCACCTTTCATAAGTGTTTTGGAACTTCATTTTAAATGTTTTGTGAGAAAAGGTATGAAGTTTCTAAATTTTTGGAAGCTACTGATTAGTATTCTACCAAAAATAATAATTTACTTTCTCTCCTTGTGAGAGGAAATTAGTCATTATGTTTACAGAACTTGCTAATAAATAAAGCATGCCGGAACAATGAAAAGAAGTATGTTAACTGGAAAAGTTGTTCTAAAGCAAAATAATCATTTACCATCAAGATTTTAATGATTACTCTGATAGTTATTTTGTCAAAAGTAACTATGCCACTGAGAGAATGTCTCTCCCCAGGAAACCTGTAGCATCTTCTGGAGGGACCCAGAGTCTTTCCTTCATGGAAAAGAAAGATCTAAGCCCACTCCATTATATTCATTCACCACGAAAAGATCAATGTGACTAGGCAGGAATGGGTAGTGATGGTGCATTACTCCATTCAAGGCTTTGTTTAACCAGAAAGGATTAATGTGATCAAATGTTTAGACTAGGAATCTGGCAGTCAGGTCTGCTAGATTCTGCTCCTTAAGTACGACACTGATTTCATGCACAAACTTCTTTGCCATTTTCGGCTTCAGTTGCAAGGTGGAGATTCTTAAACACTGCTGGCAAGTTATATAACAAACTTACTGAGGCGCCCATTCAGCAACATTTTTCAAGCACATACTTTATTCCATTGAGACAACACATGCTTTATTTTAAACAAGCGTGTAAGTTTTTTCCTGGATAAAGACAAACATCTGAGTGTTTCTGGAATAACATTAATAATCAAATATGTTTTTTAAAAGTTTTTATTTTCAGATTTATTATGCTTAAACAGTAAAAGGCAATGATAAGACTGAGCTTCTATTTCAACTCTATTTCCATTTGAACAAAATTTTTGTTTGTAAATTGCAAATGCTAGTGATATCCAATATTGCATAATCATGCAGACTTGTAACTCCTCTCCCCTCTTTTCTCTCCCTATAAACATACAATATGACAAAGAATGATAAAACTTATTTATTCCATGAAGACTGCAATCTTCCCTATCCAGATGGGAAAGTGCTTACATCACGTTCCTTTTAATGTGAAAAGTATTCCGTTTTGAGTACTGCTTTTGGGCAAGCGTCAACATCCATTTTCATATTTGTTTTGTGGTGAGGATAGTAAAATGCTGTTTTATTTTATAGGAACTTGGTTTTGCTTGTTTTATCAGGAATGTAAGGTAGGATTTGCACAGAAAGAAAGATAGTGTGTGTTCCGAGTACTCTGAGAATGTGTTCTTGATGGATGTTCTTCCAATATTCTCCCCTCCGTGACTAGGCAGGAGTGGATTGTGATGGTGCATTTCATATTTTTATGGAAATATGCTTATAAATATACTTAACTGAAAAATGCTTTATGCAATATACTAGGTATCATTTGAAAAGTTATAATCTGCAGAATGTGTCTATTCCAACTGTATGTATGTGTCATATCTGTATCTGAGATTAGGAATACTGACTGTAGTTTTATTATCAATCTGTTCATGTTGGGAAAAGCCTATAACCAGCTCATCAGGAATGACAATGAAGAAGCCAGACATAGAACTAACAGCCCATTAGCAAGAGACAATTGACTGGGAAAGAACTGTCTTTCTGCAATCCTGCTATACTGCTACTGATTTACATACACTGGCTTCCATAAAGACATGTGACCATGTCACCTGATGCTGGGAGTTATCTTGAACGCTGTACTTTTCCATTGGAGGTGAGAAAAAGTTTAAACTGAACTTAAAGGATTCCTGCCTTGGGCAAAATCTATGTAAAAGGTGGGAAAGCAAACAATAGGGACGGCAGCCGGATGACAGGAGAGCCCTCTTACCACTCAAGATGACTTCTGGAAACATCTAAGACTGAGCAGAGAGAAGGATCAAGCCAGGCTGGGAGGCTTTTGAGATTGTAAGAAAAGATTATTATAACTACCATTAGGATATGATATTGCATGTAACACGTCTCTTAGGGTATTAGGCTTAGCTGCAGATCCATATTCAGGAATTTCTGTGGTGGGGGTGGCGAGGAGTCCTGTGGCACCTTATAGACTCATTTCAGTTAGTCTATAAGGTACCACAGGACTCCTCGCCGCTTTTGCAGATTCAGACTAACACGGCTACCCCTCTGATACTTGTGGTGGGGGTGCGAGCCGTGGGAGGGGCTGGTGGCTATCCCGCCTCTGCCACGGTGGCCCAGCTGCACCGTGGCCTCGTTCCCAGGGGAGAGGGGAAATCAGTCCCAGCCTTCTCCCAGCCAGCCGGAGTATGGGGGAGGGAGGCTGGGTTAACACACTGCTCCTGCCTTCCAACAGCCAGCCAGAGCACAAGGGAGAGAGGCTGGGGCAATGCGCTGCCCCAGCCTCATGAGTACAGGCCTGAGCTGTCATGTTTTGTTTTATTTTGGTTTAGTACACTACATTGCTCTGTCTTGTGACTACTTAAATCCTACATTTTATACTTAATAAAATCACTGCTTATTAATAAACCCCATGCAAATAGTTGTTACGGGGTGAAGGAGAAGCAACTGTGCATCTCTTTCTTTATAAAAGAAAGAGGGTGGACAATATGAGATCTTAGTATAAAATTTTATACTAATATGGAGTTATCTGAGGTTCTGGTCCCACTGGGGCTGTGAAAATGAGTACCGTGGCAAGTCACTTTGACTGAGCCTTAACAGCTGATCTGATCTCAGTCTCTGTTTTAGTCTGCTATGTGCTGAGACCCCATATCTGCCAGTGCTA